ATCAGGCACGGGTTCAGGACTCCCCTGGAGACGAAAGACGTTCAAAGAGAGGACCGTCTTCTGATCAGGCACGGGCCCACGAATACCCTGGAGAGGAGGAGCATTCAAAGAGAGGACCGTCTTCTGATCAGGCACGGGTTCGGGACTCCCCTGGAGACGAAAGGCACGCAAAGAAGAAGGCATCTTTTGGCCGGCCACAGGCCCACGAATACCCTGGAGAGGAAGAACATGCTGATGGTGATGAAAATGTTCGAGGGGACGTAGTGGGTCGTCAAGGTGGGGAAGGAAACGCTGCTCAACGTATGTCTCCTGGTGGGAAAGGTGCAGAATCAAACGTGCATACTGTATCCTTCCCAGAGCACCCGATAAAGGGGGAACAGAAGTCAGAGGACGACCACAATGTTGGGGGTATTCCTGAGTCTGAGCATGAAAACGCAGGGGAGGCAGGTGATCAGCAGCGGGAAGGGGTTGCTGGTCGGAATTTAGCGGCCAGCACCAAGCCGCCGCGGGCCGCAAGGAGTACTCTTCCGGATGAAGGGCCCATAATCTCCGGTGGGAAGTTGCAGCACCCTGGCATTCCTTCTGGCTCCCTCATCGGCCAACCGCTCTCCACAGCGCAGCCGGAGCGAGACCAAGGTGACAAAGCTACTCTGCGCCGCGGAGTGACGCCTCTTGGTGACGACACTCAGCTTCCATCGCAGCAGTTGCATCTGCCGAAGGTCATCGCTGTGCGGCAGCCGTGGTTCCCTGCTGGGTTATCTCAAACTGAGGACCACATTCCACTTGATAAGCGTGAAAGCTTTATTCATCGCGCGGATTCTATCAAGGATTTGGAGCGACGCTCACGAGAGTCCTTAAAAAACAGTGGGCATAATGCGAGCCGGCACAACACACCGCGTGAGTAGGCAATAAAAGGAAAAAAAAAGATAACACAAACAAGAGAGGAAGCAACAAAAAACAACAAAAATGAGAAAAAACAGTAAAAGGGATTCTGCGTCAGATGTCGAGTGGGGTATTTCTTTTAATGTTAGGAATGACAGCAAAAACGACAAAGCAAACAGAAGAGGGAGGCGATGGGTGAGGATGCAAATGTGTATGTCTCAGAAGCACAAAAAAAAGAAAAAAAATAAAAAAAACGAAGCAGGAGGCGCAGGCAGATGGATGTCAGACTTCCGTACTCTTGCCGAGATACGGGAAGGAGCTAATTAATGTTACCAAGCGTCGTTGGGCGGAAGGCACGAAGGAAATTGGAAGCGAAAACCTTAATAAAAAACATTTCCCCCCCCCCCCCAACAAGAAGAGTACTCTTCTTCGAGAACCAAGCGGGGAAAAAAAGAAAGGAATAGAAGAGATGGGTGGGGTGTGTGATGCAATCAGAGTACGCATCTAAAGGAGAACACACACACACACACACACTTGCATAATGTCTTTGTTGCCTCCGATAAGGTTTATTTTTGTTTTTTTCTTACTTTGCTTTTTTGCCTGCGCTGTCAACTACGATTACATTTGATGTGTGTGCGTTTTTTGATATATATATATATATGTATATGTATATGTGTATGTGTATGTATTTTTTTTTTTGGGTGCTTCTGTGTCTCCGTCCTTCCTGCGACCGTGGCAGGGAGGCATAGCGCGCAGAGGGCAGCACTCCAAAAAAAAATGAAAAAAAAGAAGAAAAAAAAGGTTATGAAAACAAAAAAAAAGATGCTTCTCCGCATATATACATGCGATATCGGTTTTTCTTCGCTACGGAGGGAATTCATCCCTTTTTTTTTTTGTTGTTTTTTTTTTGATTTGGTTTTAGGATTCTTTTTTGATTTGATTACGCCTACAAATGTACGTCCACCGTGTTTGCAGTCCGCGCTCGGAGTCTATTGGTCTCTGGAATGTATACATGTATGCCCGTATGTGTGCTGCACTGTCGTTTTTAGGTTGCTTGATTTGTTTCTGTTTTTTTTTTATTAACAAAAAAAAAAAAAGAATCTTCTGCGGTGGCGGTGCCTGCAGTGGAGGAAGGAGGGCCGGAGTGGACACAGGGATAAATCGAGACAAAACGAGGTGGCAGATACGCACATAACGTGCCAAAGAAGAAAAAGAACAAAGAAAAAAAAAGGAGACAAACTCTCTTGTGAAAAAGAGAGGGGGAAAAAAAGGAAATCAAGAAAGAAAGAGAGAGAAAGAGAAAGAGAGAGAGAGAGGTGTTTATTGACGGATTTCGAAAAGAAAATGGGAAGGTAGCTTTATTTCCGGCTCTCCTAAGTGAAACTGTTGCAAGCGGATGAAATGCCGAGCATGAAGGGACGACACCCCCGTCAAGGGCGGTTGAGGGTGGAGGGTGTTGTGTGACCGGCTCTGCGGTGGCTGGGGGATGAAAAGTGATGCGTTTTTTTTTTACCAGCTTTTTTATTTCTTGTTGTGTGTAACTATTGGGCCCGCCCTCTTGTTTTTTTTTTCACCGGACGTAGAAAGGAAGAGGACATGAGCAAACGCACGCGATGGTGACGACGACAACGAGTACAACGGCCAATAGTCTCAGTGCCCATGTGTACCACGACAATTTGTTGTTGTTTAGCGGAGTATCCACAGACAGGCTTTGGTGGCTGAATTTGCCCTCCTTGCGTTGGCATGAGGAGGTTTGCTCAGGCGTGTTTCCTCCTCCAACACGGTTTCATGCAACGGCGCTGCGTGGATTACGACTTTATCTCTCAGGTGGAGAACCGCCCAGCGTTGCGACATTATGCACCGCGGCAATCTCGCTTGAACACGACCTGCTGGAGGTGTTTGTAATTGACCTGCAGGAGCTGCACTGGGAGACGGTGGCGTGCGGGTGGAAACCTCGAAACCGCTCGCATCACACGATGACTGCGGTGGAAAATAGCCTCATTGTTGTGGGTGGGAAGCCTTTGCTGGGCGACGTCACCGCAAACGAAATGCGGGAACTACTGGCGAGTGGATTCTACGCGATTCATGTCTTGGATACCACGACGGGTGTTTGGCGCGTTTTTTCGGAGGCGCGGTTTCCCCCACTGTGGGGGCACACTGTCCACGCGGTCAATAGCTCCGCAATTGTCATTTATGGGGGCTTTGAAATAACACTTGAGACGGACGAAGCGGGGGATGAGCTGCCCACGATTGCTGTCAATAATTACGTTGGATTTCTCAACTGGAAGACAATGGAATATTATCAGGCCCCCACACGCGTTCCAGGTCGTGTGATGCACCAAGCCCATTTACGGGGCAACATGCTTTGTGTACTTGGTGGGTTTTTGGTAGACGAGGCACATCTCGATTTGGTTCCAAAACGAGATGCAATTGGAATTTCTTTGATTACATTTGAGGCAGCCCCAATGATGTTTTGTCTGCAGAACTGGTCCCATGAGCAGCTGGCTTCTGTGGTGTATAACCAGCAACTGATTGCATTGAATACCATGAATGACATATTCGTCCAGAGGATCCTTGGCGACGAGCCATGGGTGCGTTATAGATGCGATCCAAGCACCGTGGCTACAGTGCCGTTTCCCACTATTTTTTTTTCTAGAAGTAAACCACAAGAGGATGGTAAGGAAGGGATGAGTCACACGGTGTCCATTCCTTTTGACGGACCATTGTCAAGGCCATCCATATCCCCTTTGCTATGGAAGATGTTATCGCGTCTTGAATACCCCCTGGCTGACATGTGCTAGAAGACTGCTAACAGAGGCAGTAGTCTTGTGAGTGCATTTTTGTCTTTATTTTGCTGTGTGTCAGATTGCTGCTGAGCTGTATGTTTTTCCTTTTCTTTTTAGACGTTTTGATGCTTCATTCTGCTGTTTTTTTTTCTATTTTTTCTCTTTATGTGTATATGTTCTTCTCTCTCTTTCCCGCATCAGAGGGTCCTCGGGTGCGGTTCGCATGTCCTTAAAGCCGGCACACTGCTTTGTGCGTGTGCGGCCCCTCACTGACGACGAGTTAAGGGCGCAGGAGCCGAGTTGTCTCACGGCGGAACCTGAAAAGCGGTGCATCCGCGTTGGGCAGACAGATAGTTACCACTTCGACGGTGTCTTTCATGCAGCAACAACGTTGCAGGAAATTTGCGATACTCTCGTGGTGGGATTGGTGCGAGAGGTGTTGAAGGGTTACCAAGAGGCGGTGCTTTTGTACGGTCCGACGGGTGGCGGGAAGACCCACACCCTGAACCAGCTGCTACCTGTGGTCGTCCGTCTATTACTACAAGTTGCCGACTTAGAGCGTCTTACGTACGAGACAACGGTCACAATGGAGTGTGTGGAGCTGTACATGGAGCGTGTGTCGGACCTTTTTGACCCGTCCAAAACCGATCTGCAGCTGCGAGAGTTTCCAGACACGGGTGTCTACGTACGAGGGGCGACAGAGATGCCTATTCGATCCCCAGAGGAGCTTACACAAGTGTGGAGGAAAGCCGAGTTATCCCGCTCACGCAACGCCACACGCCTCAATGCCACAAATACCCATAGACACTGTCTTGTGACGTTGAAGATAAGGCGTCGCCGTAAACTTCGGAACGACTACACGCTGAATGAAGAGACATTCGACAGCGACGAGGTTCCTTCTTCTCTGGTGACGACTGGGAGGATATACTTTGCCGACCTTGCTGGGTGCGAGCGACTGAAGGACTCTGGTAACGATGGCGTTCGTCAGGCCGAGACAATCACAATCAACCAATCTCTCTCATCCCTTTGCAGTGTCATGAATGCACTGACTGACCCCAAGAAGACACACGTTCCTTTTCGGGACAGCAAACTCACCCGTCTGCTACAGGAGCCATTGGGAAGAGATGGCAGATGTTACGTTCTGTTGTGCTTGCCACCCTCAGAAAGGTATTTACCAGAAACACGTCTGGCACTGGCCTTTGGTGTACGGGCCATGTCCATTATGCAACAGGCCGTTAGCCGTAAACAAGTTGACCCAACCACACATCTAGTTGAGGTTCAACACTGGTTAGCTAGCCGCGTGCATCTACTAGAAGCCCAGGTGCGGCGTCTGACATCGTCCACCTTTGTCGAGTGTCCTAGATGCATAGAGAAGGAGATTAAATTACATGACTTGTCGGAAGAAATAAAACGCCAAGAGGCGATCATTTTCCACACAAAGGAGGAGTACGATGTTTCACTTTTTCGTTTGCGGAGCGCCCTCGAGACGGCGCAAAACGACTCTGAACATTATCGTAAAAAATCCACAAAAAGTGCGGTATCGGATGAAGATGCGTACGAGCAGAAGATGCGGGTCCTTAATGAGTACTGGACTGGCTACGCTGCCTCTCTCCAAGAAGAGCTCGAGAAAACCGAACAAGAGAGGGATGACGCCTGCTGTGAGTTACGCATACTATCCGATGAAATAAGACACTTAAGAGGAATAGGACATCTAATAGACTCCTCACATCCAAATCCTGGCATCACGGAACACAATAAGAATAAAGACTACAATCATACAGACGTCAGTACATTCATTGACAACAATGGTAGCATAGAGAAAGAACCCGAGAATTTGCAGGAGCAGCTGTCGACTGCGGAGGCGACTGCCGCTGAACTTCGAACAGAGAACAAGCGTCTCTTGCACGCGTGCAGCTCGCTGCGCACGGAGCTGTGTGAGGCACAGCAGCGGGCAGCGGAGCTGGGTGATGCCTCCGTCGAGGTGGGGGAGCTGCAGACACTGTGCCACAACCTTCGGCAAGGACTGGATGCGGCGGAGCAGCGTGGCATGCAGCAGCGCGAGAATTTGCAGGAGCAGCTGTCGACTGCGGAGGCGACTGCCGCTGAACTTCGAACAGAGAACAAGCGTCTCTTGCACGCGTGCAGCTCGCTGCGCACGGAGCTGTGTGAGGCACAGCAGCGGGCAGCGGAGCTGGGTGTTTGTGATTTTCTCAGTAGGAAGCCGTTAAAGAAAGGCGGAAATGTTTCCGTTTTCCGAGGTGATTGTGCCCAAGCTTCATTGCGTAATAGGAAGAAGCATTTTTGCTGCTGGCGGAGTAAACTTTCTTCTGCCATCGACGAGTTGAGTGGAATAACACAATCGGAAGGTAGTGGTGTGAGAATCGGGTTGGTGAGTGATGACAATTTGACTGTAGATGTTTCAAATGTGGTGGTGCCCGATGCAGCTTCAGTTGACAGCACAGCTATCGTACTGATGGATATTGAGGCCGCGTTGTAGGTGAAACTAAAATGTTTCTCTTCGTGAGGTCTCTGTCGTTTTTTTTTTTCCTCTTTGGCTTGCTGGAAGGTGAGTGGAAATTAGACGAGGCTGCAATTCTTCGTTTTTGCTGCAACTTTGTATGTGTGTGTGGGGAGGTGGACCTGTCCGTTTTTTCTTTTTTTGTTCTTGTTGTTGCACGCAGGCTTCTCGTGGAAGGAGGTCTGCGTGTTTTGGTGCTGTTGTTTTATTTTCTGTAATTGGGCTTCTCTGATTCGCTGTTCTGTTTGACGCGTTCTCTGTATGGGTTAGTGCGCTATGTTGGACTTCCGCGATGACGCCTTCAGGGAGTTTTTGGTGCACACCTCCATTCATGATAACGCCCCGCAAAAGTTGCGGCTGAAGGTGCAGGATCCCCTTTCCGCGGAGGATATGCTGCAGCAAATTGCACGACTGTTAATTGAGCCGACGACCTCCATATCTCCGGAGGGGCCGACGCGCATGCCCATTTTGCTGGACTCGTCCCTGCTTGCGTTTAGCGCCGAGGAGAACTGCTTTGTCCCCGTGGATGGCAAACCGGCCGACATGCTGAAAGTTTTTGCCCATTTGCTCGTACACAAATTCAGTGCTGTGCCGTCGTTGGTGCCAAATGCCGCCGTGTCTTGGAGGAGTTCGTTTAATAGCGGCATCCCCAGCGTCAGCGCACAAGACGGCGCTGCCAGTCTCGAGGGGCCTTTGCCAAAAGGTGGATGCCTTTTCACAAGGACCCCCCCTTCTGCTGGGACGAGGCGCAACGAGCCTCTCGGGCACACTTCTCGGTTGTCGCCACACCGAACGGATGAACTCCCCTCGCAAACAGGTGATTTGATGGACGGGTTGGGTGAGTACCGAAAAAGGAGGAGACTTCCCCTCACGCTGGAATGCATGTTGGAAGTGGTGGAATATCTTCTTAGTGAATACAGTGCCCGTGCAGCGGACGACGTGATCGAGCCGACGGAGAAGAGTGTCTGGAACCTTGTTGAGGATATATCTGGCCGCAGCGGTGGTGTTTCCACCAGATCACTGGATCCGGTGACGGTGAACGCGTTTGTGGAGACTATTTTATGTAGCATAAATACAGGGCGAATCCGGCGCACCTCTCACCGTTCAATACCCTTATGATTCAATGAAAAAAAAGGTGTGATGATGTTACATTTATGCTCCACGGCATTTTGGATTTTGTTGGTAGCTTGCAAAAATGTTTTTGAGGGGGTTGCTTGTCACCCTACTTTCCAGTTTTTTTTTTTTTTTGAGTTATGTGCGCTGTTGTTTCTATGTGTGTGTGTCTGAGTGTTTTATCTGACATGGATGTATGCAGGCTTATTTATGTGGCAAGCAAACAACGAAAAGCAATGAGTGTGTATAGCGCCACCCCTTCGTATCTTTCTTTGAAAACCCTTTTGGGACAGGTCCCCATCACGAAAAGTATATATGGGCCTTCTGCGTGGATACTCTTTGCCTGCGTAGCCTCCAAAAGAGCCAGGGTGGTGCTGGATGTAATTTCATGGCTTACACCCTGTTTCTGCGTGGCCGTGTCGCATATGCGTCAAGGTATGCAGGTATGCGGATGTACAAACAAACAAGTATGTATACCTGTATGGATGCATTTGAATTTTTGGGTCCACCATTTGGGCAAGGAGGATGCTGAAGTTATTTTACATCTGTTTTCGTTTTCGTTTTTCCTTGTTTTCTGTTCTGCCTTCCGAGGGGTTTGATAGGGGCGCTACTCTCCCGTCTTCCTCTGGATTCACATGTCGAATACTTTCATCTCCCCGCAGACACTGAAGCTCCTGGTGGATTCCAAGGTGGAGTCGCGGCAAAAAGGGGCTCGGGATGTGGCGTCAAAGGCTGCTGCTGTATTTGCAAAAAATCCCCCAGCGGAAGCATATAACATTATTATGCATGAACTGCGTGAGGCGGAAGTGGCTCTTCTCAGCGTTACTTCCGCGACGTATCGCAGAGGCGGTCTTAGCGCCGTGCGGGCCATTGTGGGTTCCCTACCTCTACGAACTCATCCTCATGAGGTGGTGTCGTTGATTTCATCTATGGTTTTTGAGAGTGTTACGGACGTTGATGCAACGGTGCGACTGGCGGCCCTTGAGGCGGCGCATGCGATTGTCCGTCAACTTCAGACTCAGTTGTTGGAGGTGTGTTTCATGCAGGTGTTTTGGGGGCTCGCTTCCTGTATAAACGACCAGGATGGACGTGTGGCGCTGCTGGCTGGAGAGGTGTCGTTGTCCCTTCGCGAGGTCGTTACGGGCAAGGAGTCGTTCAAGCTGCCAACCGACCTCTTCGTCACGTTCATCACGGAGGTGCTGGCACCGTACAGCAGCACAACACGCAAGGAACAGGTTCTCGATGTATCCCTTTTGAATTGGTGCTTCGAGTGGATTAGTCACGTGCTTGACCTCCCCGGTGATGAACTGATCCTCCTTCTTTGGAGATTTCTGAAGCCGTTGTTAATTCTTTCCGGCAGATGCGGGGGAGGGGAGGCGGCGCGGCTACTACAAAAGTGTCTTCGCGACACAAGGGATGCCTTTTTGCGACACATGAATATTCAACTGGATAGTTTGCTCTCGATAGCTGCTGAATGCGTGGAGGAAGCCGAGGTGGCACTGATACGGAAGAACGCATTGGAGTGGATGCTCGAACTGTTGAACTTTGGCACAGACAAGCTGGTCCATCTCATTCACAGGGCCGTCGCGGCGTCCTTGTTGCAGTTGGGCTCCAAGGATCTTGAGACGCGATTGGCGGCCCAAAATGTCAACCACAGACTCATGCAGCTTGTCGCTTCGAAGCACATTGGTATGAAGACTGTCCCGTACGACGCCGTACTGCGAGGTGTGGTCACACAACTCACTGGCCGAGGGAATGAGGAGTCGCGTGTGGCTGCTCTGGAGTGGATAGCGCTCGTGTTTCACAAGGACTCGGCTGTCGTGGAACGTAATTTTACAGAGACGTTTGAAACTCTTCTAATTCTGCTGTGCGACCAGTCGGCTCACGTGGTTCACAAGTCTATCGAGACGCTGTGCTTCATTTCTGGTGATCGCTACTTTGACTTCTTTGTTTCGCGACTCGTGGACTTGTTTCACGCAAAGGCGGACGTACTGCTGCCAAAGGCGCCGACAATTATCAAACAACTGCAGTTGCAATATCAGGGTGAGGACCTGGGACAGTGTGAGAAGTTATGCCTAAAGCTTTCTGCGGTGCTTTCGGCCTATGAAGACAAACGCTTTCTTGAGAAGGTTGTCATCACGCTGAATACGATGGTACTGACATCACGAGAGTTTCTCCCTCTTCGTGAAATACTGAATCGTGGAGTGGAGGATGAGCGGGCTCGAACAACTTTTGTTGGGATGTATCCGTGTTGGCGGTACAACACTGTAGCGGCTCTTTCACTTTGCCTGCTTTCGCGTGCGTATGGGCACGCCTTCCAGTTGATTCAATTTATGGGCAGTCTGGAGATGTCTGCGGCGGCACTTTTGCAGCTGGAACGTCTTGTGCGGCTTATAGAGTCTCCTATATTTGGTTACATTCGGATGTCGTTAATGGAGCCCTCAAGGTGCTTACCGCTGGTTCGGACTCTCTTCTCTATGCAGCTCATTTTACCGCAGGGATCCCCACAACAGTCCTTGCTCTATCGTCGACTAAAGGTAATTCCAAGCCTCGTCACACTTGAGCGTGAGTCGCAGGCGCATGAGGCAAGTAAGGAAGAATGTCCCGTTGACTGGAGTCAACTGCTGCAGCTGAGCAAGGAGGCACAGCGATGCGTCTCCGACTTTGAACGAAAGCTTGTTCTTCAGCGGCTGAGGGACACAAGCTTGCCATGACGCTCGTAAGTTCGAAGTCCATCATGCGTACGTCCCAACGTATATGTGCGTTCCTTTTACGCCGTGTTCCTCCATGTTGCTGGACGCATTCATTTTATTTTCTTCCCCCCCCCCCTGCTTTTTTTTTTTTGGGTTTTGCTCGTCTCCCATTGTGCAAACAGTTTCTCCTTCACCCCGTGCCCATCCCCCCCTCTCACGCAAAACACACTCACGCGCGTACACATAAACCTTTTGGTTTCTTTCTCCTTCCTTGCGCACTGAGGCTCCATTAGCACGACAAGCGCACACCGATAAAAGGAAAAAAAAAGTAATAAAACAAGGAAACATGTCTGCTACCACCGCCGCACAGCAGGCTATTCCAAGGGCCCTTCCCAAATTGTTCCATCGTTATGTGGGAGACGCGAGGCTGTTTCAGTGCTTGCAACCATACGAGAAGTATTCCGTGGTGGCCTACCTAAACTCCGCCTACAATGTTGCACCTATTATGAAGGGGTCCCTCAGTGTTATTCCACTTTACGGCATCTTCATTGGAAGCCCCCCGGCGGAGAAGGTTGACTTCAACTCCAGTGCCGCTCTCACTGTCACGGGTCTATTGTGGTTCGTGTATGTACTTCTTATTCATCCACAGAACTCCGGAACCCGTGCACTCTCTGCTTTAAACTTTGGGATGGCTTGCGTGAATGGTGTCAATTGCTACCGCTACTTGAGCTACAAGAGATCTAAGGCATTGAAGATGTAGGAACCCCACTGGGGGTCCTGTAATTATTTTCGAGGGAAACACAATTCGCAGATGAGGGAAGAAGAGGAATGAAAAAAAAAAAAAAGGAAGTTGCGGCGAAGGCATAACGTCAACTATAAATAAGACGTTGTTCCTACGGATTGTTATTATTATTACTATTGCTCTTTTTTCTCCTCAATAATAATATATACATATGCACATAGTGAGGATCTTCTTGGGAGACACAGGTTGGATGGTTTCTGCTGTGCCTCGACATACCTATCTGCCTATGCACATGTATGTACAATCGCCATATCTCTTTTTTTTTTTTTTTGGGGGGGGGGGGGATTTATTTACTTCTTTGCCTATGGAACGTGCGGGAAGATACCGCGAACACTTGTGGGTGTTCTTCAACCCTTTTTTTTTAAAAAAAAAATCTTTTTCTTTTGTTTGCGTTTGCATCTCTGTGTCTGTATGTGTGTTGTAGGCTTGTGGGAACAGAAATGAAACGGTGGTCACTGTGCTTGTCTTCGTTTCAGCGTCTCCCCTTTGGAATTCGCTCGCCCGCTGGGGGCATCAACCTCAACAAAGGCCTGCTGAGTGACAAGGAGCGGGGCGACCCGTTCACGGAGCCAACGGTGTATCGCAGCAAGAAGAGCATTACGGCCATGAACAAAGTATTACGCAAGACGGAGCGACTTCGCAGGGAGGAGAAAAAAAAAGAGGAAATGAATGCATTAGGTGTTGATTCACGTATGGAGAAAGAGCTGATCAACGGTGCTGCGCAGCCGCTTCAGAAGGAGGCAATCGCTGCCGTACGTGTGATGGATGAAGAGAGACTGACATCATCTGATCCAGGAAGCGAGTACACGACCGCACTGCAACGCTTGATGGAGCGGGAGGTAGACCGCCGAGAGCACATGGTGGACAAATTTGGGCAACCACCAACGGCCAAAGAATTTCATAAGTTGTTCACACAGTTGCGACACGCAGACGATGAGGCGGAGACCATTGAACGACACCAAACGCGTCTTGTGGAGGAATACGGCATATATCCCTCTATGCGTCTGGATGCCTACATGCTCGATGATGACACATATTTTCCGGAGTGGGTGAAGGCTTTGCCGTACAGCATACGGGATCGTGTAAAGTACGGGTCATTGGGACTCACCGAGGAGGATGAGGCTCTTCGTGTGACACTCGGTCGCATGCCGTTGGATAGGCGGCGCCTAGAGTGGGACAAGCAAAAGAAAGCGAGGGAGTACAAGGCGGCAAAGGAGGAGACATTAACGTTAGCTGAATTGCGAGATGCTCGACAAGGCAAGCGCCGATTTCACTGGCTGCAACGAAAACGTCAAAAGCGGGCGTCAATGCTTCGACGACTCGCATTGCGAAAACCAGAGGCATTTGAGTTGTGGCCTTCTGCTCTGGTGGACTACAGCCAGCGCATTGCCTTTATTGCGCAACACGTGGAAAATGGCTTGGACACAAAGGGGCAATGGCCCTTGGACCCGGAGGAGCTCGCACGTGCTCGCGTGCGGCGCAGTCAGGAGGAGGCCGAGCGCACCTTTCTGCTGAGCACGGAGGAAAAAAAAGCACTCAAGCGGAAAACTACGTGCAACAACGACAACAATATTATGCAAATGCTTCATGCGTTGGATACACCAGAGAAACCATTTAGGCGACTTTCGCGCAAGGTCTACGCCAATCGTGTGAACGCCATTGTGCACGGTGACCAAGATGAGTATGGACGCAAGTATCGTAAAATGGAAAACCGCGCGAGGCGTCGGATACGCCCGTACGAGTCTCTCGGAGAGATGGCACTGTCAAAAGAGGTGCGAAAAGAACCCCGAGTTTACGCTAACGGCCTGAATCATACTGACGACGAGCACTGGCCAAAACACACCAAATCATGGGCGGATGGCATGCCTTCCATACGCTACGCTGCGTGAGGCTCAGCTTTTCTTGTGTGAGGCATAATATTACAAGTATGCGTTGTTGTTGCCGTTTTTTTTTTTGCGTGCGTGTCGGAGGTATTTCCTCCCCAACCCAACTGATGGCTCATGACTGTCAACCGAGCCTTTTTTTTTTAATCCGTTTTTTTCTCTTCTCGTTAAGCAGCTTTTCCCACCACGACAACAAGGAGGGGATATAAAGCACAGAGCACGTGACTGTTTTCTTTGTGTGTGGGTGTACTGGGAGGGCTGAGCTCGTGTGATGTCAACGTCAAAGGTGCTTCTTGCGGACGGCACGGAGGGTCTTTTGAACCGAGGCGAGTCGTATTGTAGTTTGGCGTCCATCAACGGCGCTGTTTGGGCTCTGCGCTCATGCGGAGAGTACGTTGACGTGCTTGATTCCCATGGAAGTGATGTGCTGGACTCGGTGCATCTGCCGGAGAGGTGCGGAGCGATTCGGACTGCAGCGAATAAATTATGGCTCCTCACACGCAGTGGTCACATCATCCTATGTGACATGAGCGGTGTGCTGATTGGTGTGCTTAATGCGGGCCTGGGAAGAATCGATAATTTACACACCTTTGAGAGTTGTCCTTTATTTTTTGTGACTAGCCAGAAAGGTGCCTTTCAAACGTGGGATTTGGAACAAATGGCGGTACGTCGTGTGTTCCCGTGTGAGGGCGCCGACATCCTTGCGGTCTTTCCCGTCAACTCTGAGGCGCTATTATTAACTGTACAGGAGGACCGAATGGCACTCTGGGGAGAGAAGACCTCTTGCCCTGTATGTGTACACACCGTGGAGTCTGCTACCACGGCTGTGTTGGTGAGCGCACAACGTGAGACGGCGCATGCCAACTCCTGCTGGGTGGGGGGGAAACAATGGATAACTGTATTTCATATACTGGAAACTATTAATGGTAGGGCAGCTTTCAAAAAGGAGCGATTGATCCCATGCGCAAGGGTGCAACAGCTTGTCTCAATGTCTTTAACACGTATTGTGTCGTTTGATGCGGAGTTTTTGGTGACGGTCTGGGATTCCTGCAGCTGCACACCTCTAAGGCTTTTTAAGGTTAATTCTGCAATGGGAATTGGGCGTGATACTGTCGTCGCTGGCCTGTTTCTGACCGGTGTCGTTCGTGTGGCGAACCTTTGGATGCTTTGTGGGAACCTGCGTCTTTCATGGGCAGATCAGGGCATAGACGATGGTGAAATACAGGCAGGTGCCTCGGTGATGGCGACAGCTGCGGTGCTTCGGGGCGAGAACACACACCTGCGCAAGAAGAACGTGTGTCTGCTGGAAATGATGGACGCATATCGTCAAAAGGTGGTGGAGATTGTCTCTAACCCCACCAGCGAGAGGGCGAGCGTGGCTGCAACGGTTCTTGCGCTTGACAAGTGCCTTGCTGAACAAGTGTCAGTCCTCCGGTCGGAGGATGATAAACCGCACAGTATGAGCAGGCTAAGGAGCCTGAGAGATCAGGTGGAGTACTGGCAGGAAAAGTACAAGGTGGAGAAGGAGCGAAACAGGCTATTGTTGTGTGATCTTCGTCTGGCTGTGGGGCACCTGAAAGAAAGTGGGTTTGACTCGAGGGTTGACGTGCAGTTGGCCAACCTTTTGGCTCTAAATACCGCCTCTCAGGCGAGAGAGTCTGAGCTTCGTAGCCGTCTGCTTCAGTTGGAGGTAGAACTGCACAAACTAGACATTGTGGACAGCAGTGACGTCTATCCCTCGCAAGATTCGCAGGATGATGGCAACCGGCAACGCGCCCGCGTTCAAGAACTTGAGAAAGAACTTCAGAGTGCTTTGGAGGCGAGTGAGGAGGCTGCAAGAGCGCAGCAGGAATTCCTAAACCTCGCCGAGGTGGTAGAGGGATTGGAGAGGTCTCTGCACACGGAACGATGCAAAGTGGCCACCCTCACTGGGCATGTGTCTATGCTGGAACGAAAAGACGAAAAAATGCTTCATACACTAACGTACCTTCAAGAAGAGCTTAACAAAACTCAGCGTGAAAAAGACGGATGCAACGAATTGTTGAATCGGGTTCAAGTTGAGGCTGATGAAAATGAAAGACGAGCATTTTTGGCTCTTGCGGAAACTCGGGAGGAGTTGCAGCTATTGCGGCGGGAGTTGCAGAAGTTGGAAGGCAGCAGGTATCTGGCGTCAACGGTTTCCATTCGGGATACCGAGATTGTGGGGCTTAAGAAGCAATTAAAGTGTGTAAGGGGGATGCTATTAACGCGGCATGAAGAATCTCGTACAGTCACCACCGCATGTGATTCCATGGTGGGCATCATACAGTCAATGCAGCAGGAGTCTCAACTAACGCGACTGGTGAACACGGTGGAGGACATTGACACACGCTTGGAACGTCTGAGCTCTTCAACAAAAATGTGGATGGAGAGGGAGGATCAGATCGCTGCTAGAGACGACGAAATCCTTGTGTTGAAGAACTGTGTACAGTCACTGGAGAGTCGTATGCGGCATGTTTCGTCGTTATTTCAGCACATCCCTTACAGTGTTGAGGGTGTCGAATCGCTGCTGCTGGAGCTGAATGAGTACCGGCGGCGGTATGGTAGGAGTGAGGAGATCGAGGAGTTGGTGGCGTTGCGCTTGTTGGAGTTGGAAGCGCCACGCAACGGTGATAGCGCCGCGGAAGAATCATAACGCAACAACCACACGTTTTTTCCGGTGTGGGCAGTTATATTTTATTATTATTGTTTGACTCTTTGTGCTTTGTTGTATTTGTTTAGTTATTTTGCCTTGTTTCTTTTGGTGGCTGCGTCCTTATCGTGAGTGTTTTTTTTTTTCGTTTGTGCCGGTTTATGCCTCTATTTCATTGAACTCTTGTGTTTTTCTGCTATTCCAGCGGTGCCGTCCTTGTACGGCATTATGCGTACTCCATGAGAGGCCATCTTTTGGCTTTACCAAGCCAATGCTGTTGGTTTGGTCCGCATTGCCCCCCTCCCCACCCCCCTTTTTTTTTTGTTTCTTTTGGTTGTACCACTGCGGCAACGGTTTGTGGCTGCGCATGCTCGCAATTTAGCTGAATTTTATGAGATGACTTTTGGTAAAGGATCAGTTGGGCGAAAGTTCCTTGGAGCCACGGGCCTGGTCGGCTCGCTGGCGCTGGGCGGGGGCTACTTTACATATCAGCGACGACTGAAGGAAAACAAAAGCTGCACAGCTGAGGAGTTCAACGCGACACAAAATCAGGAGGAACTGTCATGGGCTCTTTCACACCTGAAGAATCCAAAGGAGCACCCGCAGCTTGTTCTCTATCGCTACTCAACCTGCCCCTTTTGTGGGATGGCCAAAGCCTTCCTGGACTACGCCAAAATTCCCTACAAGTGCGTTGAAGTGGAGCCGATGTGGAAGAGGGAGATTTCCGCCTTTGCGTACAAAAAGGTTCCACAATTGCAGTTGAACGTGCACGGACACAATGGCCCCATTCTGGCGGACTCTGAAATCATTGTCAACACTCTTGCACAACACGTGGGTGTGGGGAAGCAGCTGAAGGATCCAGAAATTGCGCAATGGCGTGCGTGGGCCCGCGGACCGATGGTACGCCTTTTGACGCTGGAATTTAATTCCTCTCTTTACAGTGCGTGGCGTGGTTACTCTTACATCAATGATATTGACACAATCCCATACACGAACAAATTGTTCCTAAAGGTGGTGGGGGCACCGGTGATGTACCTTGTGGCACAGTTCGTGACCAGGCCTCGACTCATTAAAAGTGGACATCTGCGCGAGGGAGAAGATGCAAAGGCGCAACTCCACAGTGAGATGAACACCTTTGTGGAGAAGGCCCTTTTAGGTGGGAAGAAAAAGTTTCACGGCGGTTCCAAACCAGATCTGGTGGATCTGGACATTTATGGCGTTCTCCAGTCTGTTAGAGGGCACCGCGTCTACGACGAAATTATCCGGGCGACATCTATTAAGCCGTGGTTGGATGGCATGGATAAGGAGCTTGGCCACGTAAGCCGTGCTGCATAGGAAGCTTGCAGACTCTTCTGTAGCGGTAACTGTGGGTATGAGAGGATGTATGTGTATTTGGGTGGACGCAACAATAGTAACAGCTATTATGCATTTTGAAAGTATCCTAGCGCGAATTGCGTACACACACACTTCTATGCATGAGCCTTGTCATACTTGCGAAACTGGGGTGGCTTTTTGTTCTTTTTTTTTCTGTGTGGTTTTTTGCGTTAAACATTTTTTTTATTTTTTATTTTTTTGCACGTCTTTTGCTGGCATCTCCCCTCCACGATTTGTTGTGTCGCCTTCTTGCTGCTTTTGCTTTCTTGTTTCACGGAACGCAGTTTTTTGACTGAAGGCCCGTCTCCATGCAGTCTGGCAGGTGTCCTCGCAAACGCTGCGCCATAGGCGTAAAAAATGGTCTGCAAATTGTATTTGTGACTCTTCCAAAGCCTCTCGATCCGCCGCCCCCAGTTGAAATTGAGCCGCTAATGTTTTTTGACGACGCTCCCCCACTACCACTGCCACCGCCGCCTGTTAGGAAAACTGCGGCACGCACGACAAACAAGTGGGAGAGAGGCTGGGATGTTGTGCCTCTTGTGGTTAATGGTAACGGGGAGATGGAGCGCTGGCGCAGTGTCGGCAAGGGTGAATTTTCTAGTCTTAAGGAGGCGTACGAGGCGTGCGGCCCTTTTGAATCGCTCGCGGAGTATCTAGCTGTCTTTGGGTGTATTCTTCTTGATACACTCTACCTCTTGGTGGCGAAGAGGGTGGAGGTGATTGCTTCTTTGCCATTTGGCGGCATGATTCAACGTGTCCTCTCGACAGAATGGGTGCCGCTGCGTATTCCAGATTCAGTGCCGCTTTGTCTTTTGTCGGCGGACAGAAGAAGACTGGGGGAGTTTCAGCAGTACTCGTACGAGAGGGGCTACTATTACTCTGACGACTTTGATCTTTGTTATCCATTTCCCTTTTCGCCACCTGCAGCTGCTGGAGCGGCGCCCACGCTTTACTGCAACTGGTCAGAGCATCTGCAACAACCGTTTCGTTCGCATGACCTCTCTGAGGCCTGCTCAGTGCTGCTTCGGGGCTTTGCGGAGGAAGCCGTCGTGAAGTTGAAGGACGCATCTTCTCTTCACATGCTGCTGTTGGGTCGTCAGAACAATCTGAACCCGGGCCCAAGATACCTTGGACGTGGGCTGAACGGGAATAACGCCGCGGGAAACGATCACTTTTACGAATACATCTTGTGGAAACCGAACAAGGATGACTCCATCTCCTTTGCACGTCATACGATACTCCGAGGGACAATTCCCGTGCACTGGTCCACACAAATCCATCGAACTATGGCGGAACCTTCAATGGTATTTAGTCCAAATAGGGAGGAGGTGTTGCGAGGGTGCGATGCATACTTTGAGTTTGTGTTTCGTCAGTTAACAATGCTTATCAACTACGACATGGGAAGTGTTCTTCTGGATGCCGCTCCCAAGCTTCGTTGCATGAGTTTGCTTCGGCAAAATCCTCAGAATGGTGAAGGTGTTTTGGCCAGACACTTTTTGGCTGCAGTGAGGAAGTCGGATGCCGTGGTGCGGCGCCTTTTCCACGATGCCAAGCTGGACCTTGTGCATCTTGATTGGCTGAATCTCGTCAAGGACTACGGCGTTGATATGGTCGCAAAGACATTTTGGGAGTCCACCTGGGAGTTTTTGGCTCCGCAGGAAAACGAAGCGCTTGCCACAGTGGGTATGCTCCACTCTGATGGTAGTGTCACGCGAAGGTGTTGTCAACGACGCTTTTTGCGAGTTAATTGCGCGGATTCTTTGGATAGAACAAACCTTGGGTGTTTTTTCACCTGCTTTCAGGCATCCATCTCCATGCTGCGCTCACTGGAAATAGAATTAGACCACTTTGTGGATCAAAGACCTTTGCCGCCTCTACAAGGACAAGACGATGATAGTCAGTGCGGGCTCGCTTCCTTTTCCATGGAAGGAAACAAGATGACAATGGATAAACTCTTTGTAAGCACGTGGTATGAGGCCCGCAATCCGGCCCTGTGCCCTGTGGCGGTTGGTCGAGCCCTGTCTGAACTCTACGTGCACAATGGCGATGTTGTCGCGCAGCTGTATACGAGTTCGGCGGCGATGCACAGTAATCTTTTGCGAAATATTTGTGGTCTGAAGTATACGGCGCACAACGCTGTGATAGCAACCCAGCGACGGTTTGAAAACGTGTTTGAGGATCGAAGCAAATTCAGGAGCCTTGAGCTTTTATTGGGGAGAAACAAGGATATTCACTTTCCTTCAATGAGCCAGATCTTTCTTACGCGTCCTGTACCGCTCCAGTATTGGTCATGCGCAGTAGTAGCGCTGGGCGTTCCTCTCTCTGTTTCCTCATTTGATTTAGCGGAAGCGGTTCAACAGGCATTGAAGGAAATTTTCTTTTTGACTTTACCGTCTGATAACGGCACAAGTAACTCGAGTTTTGCACGAGGTTTTTGTATATCCCTGGCCGAGGATGAGGCGGCATCGCACAAGGAGTTTCTCACTGCGGTGGGTCAAGTAACCTTTGAGCAGCCGCCCTCCATGGCCGAGGACGACGGAGCCGTTCTTCAATACAATGAACGTGTTGCCGTGATTGAATTTGATCATAACCGCTTTGACATGTCTCATGTTCAACGGTTTCTCCGGGCGAGGGAGACCCTACAGGTACTAAACTACAGTGTGGTACTTGCCCCATACGCCTACCCCATTCAGGAAACTGATGGGAATTCTGCAGGTTTCGTTAAAAAGGCGGCAATCTCCTTGCGAAGTGGCCTCAAGAATTTCGTGAGAGGACTCAATTCATAAGAACCTCGATAAACACCATATGTGTTGTACATACATCTCTCCTCATGCATATATATATATATATGTATAATATACATATATTACTTCAGTTTTACTGTTGCAGTCGCGGTGTGGCTTTTTTTTTGTTTTGTGCGTGTGCCATCTAGCTTTTATCCAATCATGTGAACACACACCGACACACACGCTCTTGTGTATGACATCGCCTAGTTTCTTGCACTTGACCACACCACTTTTAATAATCATTATTATTATTGTTTTTGTTTTTCGTACGTCTTTGTATTTGGGTCTCTGAAACTCCATCTGACAGCCCTTGCGAGATTATTATTATTATTTTTTTACATCGTCTACTTGTTTTTAAGATGGAGTGGGTGAAGGGGAGGGGTGCCGTTGTCTCTGAAGTACATGACAGCTACTCTGAAAGGTGTGGCATGTATGGCATGCCCCCTCTTCTCTTCATGATCATATTCTGTTTGTGGTGACTGAGAAGAAAACCTCGGAGACGCACGCAACGCAGATGGTGTGAAGTTGCTCGTTTAAATACCAGCTGCTGTGCTTTGGCATTGACAAGGCGCCTTAAGGCCAAGA